ACGACGACGACGACGACGCTACTACACTACTCTACTACTACGAAGATTAATACACACTTTTAATCAATTTTAACTAGTACTACTACTGCTACTACTACAACAACTACAACAACAACAACAACTACTACTACTACTACTACTACTACTGCTACTACTACTACTACTACTACTACTACTACTGCTAGTCACACTAGTCCTGCTAGTCCTACAGTACTAGACCTGCTGCTGCTTCTACAGGATGGTGCCGCTGGTGGCGGTGGGGCAGCGGCCGTGGTGGTGTGTGTGCTGCTACGACGACTGTTGCTGTCACGACGAACAATGCGCCTGCTGCTTTACATCGCGCACACCTTTGTTGCTGAAGCTGGTTTCCCTTTATGAGTGGGAGTGGGAGTGTGTCTGCTATTTTCTGCATCTTGCGTGTTCCTGCTGATGACGGTGGTGGCGAGGACAATGACGATGAACGTGATCATGACGATGGGGAAAAGCTAGGCATGTTGATGATGTTGCTGGTGATGGCGATTGTGCTGTGGAAGGGAAGGGGCTGCAATTGTAGAAAACTAGGGCGTAGGACCATGTTCATGATTGTCCTCGGCATTTCGAAGTCTAGGCTCTGCTGGCCCTGAAAGCCTTCGGTTATCCCCTTTTCACAGTTAGCCGCGCTTCATCCATCTACCGACAAAAACCCAAAGCACTGGCTCAACTACCACACCACCCCCCACCAGTTCGAATAATCTGAACGTTTGCAATTGCAAGTACCTGTAAAGAGACTTAAAGCATCGATATTCTAGACTATTCTATACCACCACCACCACCACCACCACCACCACCACCACCACCACCACCACCACTTAGCAATAGTCTATGAGCTCCGATATACCTCAGGAGCTCCCAATCAGCCCCTTAGGCCCTCTGAGTTCACGATGAAGTCATCAAGCCAAGAGTTGTGACACGACTATTCTCCGAACATCCTCCACACGGAAACTTCTTGGCGACGCAAGCTACTGTCCCTTGTTTTAAAGGTTCTTTGCCAATCAAGCACAACTGCCCGGGTTTGGGGTTGGGGTATCCGCCACAGAGACCAGAGATGCAAGAGAGCCATTGACGCTTCAGCATGTGCAGGCTAGGGAAACACTTACCTCGATGCCCCCTCATATGCTAGACACTGAATAAACCATAAACCCTAAACCTACACTCTAAACCCTAAAATCCTTGAAGGACCACTTGATTGGACAGCGCCCTGTGCCGGAGACTTGTCGTTAAGCCCTGATTAAACACTCCACCCTGAACCCGACAGTCCTCAAAAACGTGAAACCCCAAGCTAAACCCTAAAAATTGCACTGGAGGGTCCGAAATAATTTCCTACATTTCTTTGGGGCTCCTTATTATAATTACAGTCTACTGGGCCCCCAAACCCTATTCTAATTATATATTAAGACCTTGAAGCCCACAACGCCCGACCGAAACAAGCAAAAACGCTAAACCCTAAACCCTAAACCCTAAACCCTAAACCCTTAAACCGACACCGGGCTCCCCGGCTTCTGCTCCTTGGCGTGCGCCGCCTGTGTGGCGCTGAGCTGCCTGAGCTGAGGCCTCGGCTGGGCCCGGAAGTTCGGGTTGAGGGTCCCTTTTAAAGGGATATATATATATATATATANNTAAGGGTTTGGGATTTATGGTTTAGGGGATTCGGGTTTAACGCTGAGGTTTTGGTGTTAAGTTTAGGGTTTCGCTTTAGGGTTTGGGGTTTAAGTCGTTTAAGTTGACACAGATTTAGAAAAGGGTCCGAGGTTGAGGAGTCGTTTAAGTTGACACAGATTTCGGAAAGGGTCCGAGGTTGAGGGTTCATGATTTAAGGTTTAGGGCCGTTTAGGGCTGACCCATAGGCCCCATAGTAGTTCCTTTTTGGGGATTACCTTACAGGATTCTAAATATGAACCCAAAAAAGGAACTACTATGGGGCCTATGGGTAAACCCTAAACCCTAAACCCCATAAGCCCTAAACCCTAAAAACCCAGGGGGCTATGGGTAGAGGTTCAGGGCTTAAGCGGATGAGGCCTCCAAAATAGCGATCCGTACGGAAGTCATCGAGTTCATAAATACAAACTGCCGCCGGCTTAGGGTTTAGGGTTTAGGGTTTAGGGTTTAGGTGCTACAGGATGTTCGGGGTTTGGGATAGTTTGCGGGGTTGGGGTGTGGTTTGTTGTTTTGGGGTGGTGGCATTACCATGGAAGGTCTCTCGTCTTGGAGCTGCCCTTAGATTTGGCGGAATCTTTCAAGGTGCAGCCTAATTACATGGTTAATATCATGATATCTTCAGGTTACGGAGACTTCCGATAGCTACACCAGAGGCCTCAGTGTTCCTTTCAGAAGCCCTGACTGAAGGTACTCCGCTGTCGCTGGGAATGCGTGTGAATGAGATGGTTTAGGTTTGCATGGGACTTGCTGGTGCGACATGGGTCCACCGGAGTTGCCGCGACTACAACCTTGGCAGTATTGATGCGTGCTACGTGACTCAA